TCAAGTCCTCCCCAATGGCTCAATTTAAAAATTGAGCCCTTGGGGGAGGACCTGGTCCCGTAGCCCCATTGTGTATACTACTCCATGACACGATTGTCTTGTAGGACGTTTTCATACAAACGGCCAGACACATGTTGACGTTGACAACAAACAGTAGAAATATGCTTACAGATTTAGTTGCGTGCTGAAGATAACTTTGTGGAAAGTACTACTTATATGTTCTGTTCTTCTGGTAAAAAAGAAACATCATCTTGAACACTCTGTGTATCAAACAATCTCCTCGTTCGTTCAGTAGCAAAGCTCCAGAACACCCCTTCAGTGAAGATGTGAGTCTGATTACCAGTACAAGAAAGACTGTAGACGACATCAGTTGATTCAGTTATAAACGCAGGGATGTCACTGCTGCTGTTTGTGCTGTTACACATCTCCATCACTCCAAAAGATCAAGCTGAATTGTAACGAGAGTGTGTTTTTTGTAATTTGTAATAACATTGGTTAGGTGATAACAATTATGAGTCACAAGCTTTAAAGTTTTGAGTGTTGGTTGTGGGTCACATTTCGAGTCATATATGTTCAGTGGCAACAGTATTTTAGCGACACACCTTTATGATAGCGCTCCCAGAGTTACCTCCCTTGACCGGATGTTTATGTGTTGACATCGTCATGTCGTATGTTCAACACGTTTCGAGTAAAATCTAAGTGGTTAATGATACAGCCATGCTTTGCTGGAAAGTTCGGGAATCTGTGTCAGTATATATAAAGGCTGGCTGTCGTGTGGTGTGACACACAAGGACTGACACACGGACTAACATACGGAATTACACGGGACTTTCGATATTACTGGAGTTGCCCATCGTTGTTTGCCTTCGTCCTTCGTCACATCGCCATCGTCTGACCCTGACACTTCGTAGCTGACTGCTCTCATTTGTAAACAAGCTCCATTTAGAATATCTGAATCTCAGTTGATATTTTATATGTGACCCATAACTTTAGATTTGTGACTCAATTGTATTGTATTAGAAATCTGTATTGTGATTCATTGTAGCTTGCTCATATTATTGAATATTTGAGACTTGTCTGTGTTATATTTGTCTGGTTCAAAGGGGGTTCTTAAACCTTTGTCACGGCAATTATTTAACCGTAACAGAAGATTCTAATGAAATCCAGGTGACCAATTTTTACAGGCGATGCAAGATTGCTGATGACCAACCAGGAACTGTGTTGACCACACCCACAGATTCAGTTATAAACGCAGGGACGTCACTCCTGCTGTTTGTGGTGTTACACATCTAGATCACCCTACATTCAAACAGAATGAAGGTGACCGGGGTGTTACACATCTAGATCACCCTACAAGATGAAGGAGCAGATTCAAACAGAATCCAGGTGACCGGTAGTAAATTCTTACAGGCGATGCAAGGTTGCTGATGACCAACCAGGAACTGTGTTGACCACACCCACAGATTCAGTTATAAACACAGGGACGTCACTCCTGCTGTTTGTGGTGTTACACCTCTAGATCACTCCACAAAATTAAGGAGAAGATTCTGACAAATTCCAGGTGGCTAATGGGAAGGTTGACAGGAGCCACAGTAATCAGCTCGCAGATAATATCCAATTAATGTGTCATTTTCTGTATCACTTGTTTTCATGGGGAAATGTTATTGTGAACGCCGTTTATATGTATATTCTTCATGAATATGGCCCTGAGAATTCTAATCATCATCAGCAAAAGTCATCATTAGTATTGCTCTTTGTTGTTGCTGACACGACGACATTGCATGGGGCTGATGCTTCTCGATCATCTAATTGGCATTTCCTCAGACAAGAAGAGATTAATCTTTTGTTTCTGATAACCCGACCAACCCAAAGATATATATAACGAGTGCTCCATAAGGTTCCAGAAATTTATTTCAAACGCAATAATGCAAGAACGCGACTATTAGACCAAAGATGAAAATGTCGTGTTGTTACGAAAGCCTAATGGAGCCACTTTGGTAGCATAAAATATTTTTTATGCGGAAGGTTTCGCTGTTTCAAATATTTTTTTCGCTGCTTGGATTACTTTCTCGCTGCTTTGATATATTTCTCGTTTCATTTTTTTTCAAAACCTTGAAAATTCAAGTATTTACTTGTTGCTTCGAGTATTAGCTAGGTACTTAAAGTTTTTGAAAGAAAGGTGAAGTAGCTCGTCTACTCCAAGAGACCTGTCCAGCTCCTTCCACGGTCTAGTTCCCCATCAGACCTGTCCATCTCGTTCTCCCATCAGACCTGTCCAGCTCGTTCCCCCATTAGACCTATCTAGCTCGTCTACTCCAAGAGACCTGTCCAGCTTGTTCCCTCATCAGACCTGCCCAACTTGTTCCCCCATCTGACCTGTCTAGATCGTTCCCCCAAAAGAGGTGTCCAGCTCCTTCCAACATCAGACCTGGCTAGCTCGTTTCCCCATCTGACCTGCCCAACTTGTCCCCCCATCAGACCTGTCCAACTTGTTCCCCCATCAGACCTGTCCAACTTGTTCCCCCATCAGACCTGTCTACCTCTACTCCAATATACCGTCCAGAGCTAACTATTATACCCCAATAGTCCTGTCAGGTTGTGGTTACGTATGAACACTGCATTATACATTCTACAGGCTGACACTATTAATTTAATAAGATAATGAATGTTCATATTCTTTAGATAATTGAGATTTTAGTTTTCATTCTGTGCATGATTTTGTTTGTTTAATTCCTGCAGGTATGAGATAAAATGCATCCCTGAAACACTAGAAATTCATTACTTAGAACTGTGATTATTTTGTGACTGATTCGATACATAAGTTGCCTTTAAATGCATCAAGTAAAAAAGAACACATTCATCATGAAGAGTAGTATACAGGAGACTATAAAGGTTATCAGTAAACGGTGAATCACTGGCGAGCAGTTTTGAGTAATTCAGACAAGCAGGAGGTCATGGTGTGGTATGTTTTCGAACAAATTGCAGAGGAACAGCAGTAGGTAACTGTTGTGGTCCATTGGCATCCCGAACGCCAATTACTCTTCGAAGGGGATGGGCCCCTAAAGATATATTAAATAAATAGATAAATAAATGAAATAAATAGATAAATAAATGAAATAAAAAAGTAAATAAAAAGTGAATAAATCAATGAAAGAATGATTGAATGGATGGATGGATGGATAATAGATAATAAATGAATGAATGAATGAATGAATTAATTGATTTTTTTAGGTTTTGTATGAATGAATTCTTAACTAATAATAAATGAATGAAGACATGAAAAAAGAAAGAAATCGATATCCATTTCACGATTTTGTGATATTGTCCACGGCCATTGTCTGACAAATGAGCTGTGAGTCTTGTTGACAATGACTGCTGATTATTCCTTCCAGAATAGATCATGACGAACGTCCAGGTGATTAAGAGTCAGAAAACATCTGCAACCCGTCGTGTTTAGACCAGGAAAGTCACATAAGTCAGCTTGATTGGATTGGAATAACATGTCAACAAAATCATGAGTTTCATGATATTCCACACATACCACTCCAAAAAGTAAATCTGGGGTTTTGTGGGGTAACAGCTTGCATATTTACTTAATGTTTGCGACTTGTAACTCACAATCAAAACACTTTTCAAATTCACCCCACCCCCCCCTCCACCCCTCACGGATAGGAGTGAGTGAGTGAGTTTAGTTTTACGCCGCACTCAGCAATATTCCACCTATATGGCAGCGGTCTGTAAATAATCGAGTCTGGACCAGACAATCCAGTGATCAACAGCATGAGCATCGATCTACGCAATTGGGAACCGATGACACGTGTCAAACAAGTCAGCGAGCCTGACCACCCGATCCCGTTAGTCGCCTCTTACGACAAGCATAGTCGCCTTTTGTGGCAAGCATGGGTTGCTGAAGACCTAATCTACACCGGATCTTCACGGGTTCTCACGGATAGGAGACAAGAAGATCACGAAACCTCCTCACTAACAAGTGCTAGCTCATTCACCGGCTTAACAAAGAGAGAGAGAGAGAGAGAGAGAGAGAGAGAGAGAGAGAGAGAGAGAGAGACAGAGACAGAGACAGAGACAGAGAGAGAGAGAGACAGAGACAGAGACAGAGACAGAGAGAGAGAGAGAGAGAGAGAGAGACTGGTGTATATTTACATTACATCTTGACTTGTATATGTTGACATGACTTCTTGTCTGGTATAATTAGGAGATACACATCATGTGTTGGCGAATTTCCAGGTGTTATTGAGTATTTTAAGCACGGGAATTACACCCGGAAATTCGCCAACACATGATGTTTATCGACATTGTAAACACAAAAGTAAACCAAAAGGTCCACACACGTTTTTTGTGTCTGCTCTCATTGTCATCGAGTACGGGCACAACAGTGAAATGTCATCAGCCGGCCGTTTCGGCTGTCTCCCATGGTAGTATCTGGAACTGCTCATTTGTGACGTCTTTCGGACTTTACGTCACAACATGATTTAAATGAAACACATAAAAATCATAGATCCATGTTGTTATTATGATGACAGCAACCCTTTTCCAGGAAACCAATCTCTTGTAGGTTGGTCCTTTACAGAAAGCGAAAAACAAATTGACGTTGATGGCAAACAGGAGACATATGCTTACAGAATATGCTGAATTCCTGAAAAGCTGTGTTGTTTCATCGAAAGTACAACTTCGCTCTATCGTTCTGGTACAGAGAAACACAACACTGGACACTCGTTGTATCAAACAGGCTACCTGTTCGTTCAGTCACAAAACTCCCGAGAACCGCTTGAGTGAGGGCGTCATTAGAAAGATTATGTTGACTGTACATGCTGATTCAGCTACACATGCTGGAACATTCATCGTGAAAGATGTGCTGTGACACTGCTCCATGGGTCTGATAGTGTGATGGTCAAATGTACGTTGGAGGTATTCACTAAGTAGTTTACCTTTGGCAGGTATAGGACAGGTCCACTCTTCACAGAAACGGAAGTTGTGTTACTTGTGGTTTAAACATATTTATTCATTTAGTCATGATGGGATTGGCAAACAAGCATAAAAACATGCTTATATCAATGCCGCTCCCTAACAATGATACAATAGTATTAACATTAATGATAGTGACGTACACGTGAGCTGGGCGCAAAACATAATGTGAACCTACAAGGAACAATATTGACAATGTTACAATTTCCAAACATACGTTGAAGGCAAATAAACTAGAAGCTGTTGTGATCTCAGTATAACAGCAAGGCACGGCATGTACAATAAAACTAGGCTAGGTAAGTTGCGAGAATCTCTGGGAATATATGATATAATTATGTACCGATTTTAGTAGTTCCAGATTTACCTGTTCTGATGAGCCCGAATGACCAAATAAGATTGATGACAAATTACTCTACTAAAGAAGTATGCATTTGATCTTATGCCGTTAAATACGGGGCAGATGAGAAAGAAATGAAGCGCATCTTCGGTGTGATGCCCGCAGTTACATTCAGGACTATCAGATATATATCTGGTAAACTTATCTCCATTTAGATCGCTACACCCAAGTCGAAGTCGGGAGTGGATTATATGGCATGATCTTGGACCTTTGGAAAGATTAAAGTAGATTTCACTGGTGTTTTGTTCTTTTAGATTGTTTTTGAATTCCCCATGAGTATTGGCGTTTACAATATCTGAAGGGAGAGAGTTCCAGATGTTTACCGTGTCAGGGATAAATGAATTGGAGTACAAACTAGTATTGTATTAAATATTTTGTAGGTCAGAATTATTTCTCAAATTATATCCACTTACAGATGATACTTTTTCTGGAACGAAACTAATCAAACAATCTGGAACTAGTTTGTTAACCATATTATAATATATGTATAATTTTTGACGGCGTCTTCTATTTTCAAGTGAAGAAGTCAAGTGCTACTTGTGACCTGAGAGTAGATCACGCCTACGGATTCATTTATATACTCCGGATGAAAGTGAGTGAGTGAGTAAGTTTAGTTTTACGCCGCACTCAGCAATATCCGAGCTATATGGCGGCGGTCTGTAAATAATCGAGTCTGGACCAGACAATCCAGTGATCAACAGCATGAGCATCGATTGGGAACCGATGACATGTGTCAACCAAGTCAGCGAAACTGACCACCCGATCCCGTTAGTCGCCTTTTATGGCAAGCACATGAGTTGCTGAAGACCTATCCTACCCCGGATCTTCACGGGTCTCCGGATGAAAGTGTTCAATTGTTCTTGAAGGTGACCTCACAGGACAAACAAATCCTGACAAAATCCCAGGAAACAGTAGTAGTGGTGGAATACGCCTATACTCGATAACTAGCTCTGTGACAAACATTGACAGAAGCCACAGCCAGCGTTTCCTCAAAAACATGCATGGTTTATTATCATCTGACTGTTGATAAAGGTTTCTATAGGAACATCGCTAATGTGAATATCACGTCAGTTATATTCAACAGCTGATAAGCATGTTAGCCGACTTCTCAGCTCGAAGATTCAACACAACTAATCAGCATGTTTGTGCCTCTCACTTTGGAAACTGTTGTACAGGTAGAAAGATAGGCAAACATGAAGAATAATGGGGTGTCACTGATTTGAGGCAGATTGTTGTAGATGTAGCGAGATGGTCCAACAGTATACAGACCACCAAATATGAAAAGTAGTGTGGTGTCACTGATTTGTGGCAGATTGCTGTACACAAACCGAAACATGAGTCTCATTAACCAATTCAGACAATTACCTACTTTTCAGCTGATCCGAATTTTCTCGTGTGAAAGTGAAAAGAGACACTACAAACAACTATGGTTACACTGAATTCCAATTTATTGTTTCATGAGAAAAATGATATTTACAAACTAATTTAATTTTAAAGTCTAGAAAAATCGTATTTCTATATTTTATGTCGAGGTTTTGGCAGCATGTCTTTAACTAAGACATCACAGACTGCCCCTGTTCTGAAGAGGTCGTACAATGATTCACAATTCATCTGGCTCGCTGGTTACACATGTTATGTGTTCTTTGCGCCTATTAAGTGTATTTGTGTAACGTACAATGTGATTGATATAGTATCAAGTCCGTACCAGACCACCAAACTTTTCTAGAGGCAGAGCCTCGTTTTGAGTTTTCCATGATTTCCAGATTTCCGTTTGTCAGAGCACGCTGCACGGCGTGTTTGCAAGGAGTAGAAGGAGCGTAGTGTTGCAATGTACAAGTGATTAGATGTATCAAATAATACTGATGAATATTTACGTATCCAGTTGAATCAGTTGGTCTCAAAATGCTGTACTTGTTATTGTACTGAGTTGCGCAATACGACGGAACACAGTCAGCAGGAAACGAGACTGTTGTGTAATCAATGTTTTGACTTGGTAGGGGAGATGGTCCAACAGTATACAGACCACCAATATGAAAAGTAGTGTCGCTATTTGGCTTGTCCTGGAATAACACGAGTTGGTCACGAATGAGTAGAAAGTAGTCTCTGATAGGCACGCCTGCGTTATGTGAGACGCTGTGTTGTGGCTAGAATCTGAGACACATTCATATATTTTACATCTGTACAAAGGCCCTCCTGCTTTGCGGCAGGATCTGCTGCTTGATGCAGGACAAAATGTTTTAATGCCATCCCTTTTGTCGACGTTTTCATTGCAGTCTTTCCAAGGTATGCCTTTTCAAAGTATCTGGAAATGTGAATCTTGCTCCGAGTTTTTAAGTGTTATCATTATTCAAGTCGGACCCCAGAGTTCTTGATCATCATTTGGTTCCAAAATATGTCCACTGGTACAATGAGTGACCCCGTGAAGATCCCGGTTAAATTTAGAAACTCTTTGATTATCCTTCCTGTGTGTTGAGGAGCGTTGGTGAGCGCAGTGGTAGAAGCGTTCGCTCGTCACGTAGAATACCCAGGTTCGATTGAATATAGAGCAGATTAAGAAACCATGCCTTACTAGGCATCTTACAGTGACTCCAGTTGTCTGTCCGTTTTCTTTCGGGATTCAGACCATGAAGTCGATATGTTGATCGCCCTGTGTTCTCCCTTAATATTTGGGTGTTAACGTTTTCGGATAAACTGCACCTTCGTCTGTTTGTTTTGTCGGTGAAATTAGAATGGATTTTCTCCTTTTGAACTTCACGATCATCTAGCTGTCCATTAGTCGAGAAGGACCATGTGATACTGCTTCTTCTTCCCTTTCTTGGAACAGTTGCAGGTTCGTTGTCAGCAGTCATTTTCTGAAGTGAAGAAGTCGACCGGTTTTCTTTCTTCAAAGCATGATAACACTCTTCATCGTTGAGAATCTTCATTACTACAGGAACGTCCTGACCACCTTGTGCCTTGACTACAGCACCCATCAATGTGTTTCCTGCCTCTGATGATGACTCATTCGTGAGGATCATAACAGGATTACCCTTTACAAAAACACATTTGGGTAAATATACCTCTTCAAGAGCATAAAATACTTTGCATGGAAGGCGAAGGTCCTTTATCTTCTTTTGACTGCCTATTGCCTTGGGCAGTAAAGACCTGTAAAGATCAAAGGTAAATTAGTTTCGGACCTTCTGGTACGATGGTAGGAGTTGTGCTTGCGGCACTTGGCAAGTTTCATCTGAACCTATCTTACGTATGTGTACCTATCTTGCAACAAACAGGAAGGTGGGTTAGCCTGGTAGTTAAACCGTTTGCTCGTCACCCCGAAGACCCGGGTTCCCTTCCTGACATGAGTACAATCTGTGATGCCCATTTCTGGTGTCCCCGTCGAGATGTTGCTGGAAGATTGCTGAAAGCGGCGTGCAACTAAAATGCAGTCACTCATCTTTGTATCATAACTGCAGGGATGTATTTATACACCTTCCAGCATTACTTTACCTCTGGGGCGGTGGGATAGCCTAATGGTTAAAGCGTTGGCTCGTCACGCCGATGACCCCGGTTCGAATCCCCACATGGGCACAATGTGTGAAGCCCATTTCTGGTGTCCCCCTCCGTGATGTTGCTCGAATATTGCTAAAAGCGGCGTAAAACCAAAGTCAGTCAGTCAGTCAGTCAGTACTTTACCTCTTTGGCCCAGTGAGTCTGTTTTCTCGGATAATAGAGTTTTGTTATTTTTTGGCTTTAGCGTTTGTCTGTATATGTAATTTGTGTAGTCTTGCCACGCTCTACCATTGGCTAGTGTTATACTTGTAAATAAGTCATATCATACTGCACCTTCTGTTTTCATGTACCACAACCTCTAGGACAACCTGAAGGGTTTTTTCCGAAAGAAAACAACTTTCGAATTCATATGCATAACTGATTATGTGTATCCAGGAAAAGGAGCCTTGCCCGAAGAGTGAGTGAGTGAGTAACTGTTGCTTAACATCATCAATTTGGCAGCTATTCGCGGTTAGAAAATCAATTGTTGTAAACAACGTTCGCATTCATACGTATATCTGATTATATGCAGCCAGAAGAGTGAGTGAGTGATTTTATGTTGCTTAAAGTTGTATGAGCAATTTTGCAGCAATTCGCGGCAATGAAATATACAACGAAACGGAAACGAATATACAATAAAGTTGATGAGGAAAATCACTAAAACTTAAGTCCATTCCTTACCAGAGGATGTTATTGATGTCACTGATCGTCTTCGTGTCCTCTGCATTGAAGTCACCGTTAGTCTTCGTGTCTTCTCCAATACAGACAATTACTGTCACGGGAAGGTATCTTGCGGCACAGTCTCACTCATATTTGAATAGTGAGAAGGATCTATTGCAGACAAGTCAGTTTAACAGTGTTTCTCTGTGTATTGTTACCTCGTGCTATGACAATAGCCTCACCTGTCGAAACTAATATACACCAGCACTCCTTCGTGTGAACAATAAAGCAAAATGATCTCGCTACTTCAGAAAATCACCACCTCTGAGCTTTGCGTTGGCCTTTCGTTGCCAGCAGAGAGGGGTATATATAAATATAAATAGATGGACTGTTAATAGATTGATATATATCAAGTCTATATCTATATACCCCCCCCCCCTCTGACTAGCAACGAGGGGCCAACGCAAAGTTAGTGATCAGAGTAGGTAATTTCCTGTAGTATAAAAATAAAAATATATAAAAGATGAGTCTAGATATTTCTTCTTGTCAAAAATTCTATATCTACACCAGATCGTTTGCTGTTCAACGGCTGCAGTGTGTGATACTTAAACTTATATGTGTCCTCTTCGACTACTTTCAGATAATATAAGTATCCGAATATATAAGTATGAAAATATTTCAGTATTTATATAAATATACATATAAGTATCAGTGTGTGTATGTCTGTTTGTGTGTGTGTGTTTGTGTGTGTGTGTGTGTGTGTGTGTGTGTGTGTGTGTACACTTATTTTTATACTTATATATGTAGAGAACTAATTTCTGAACTAATTACACGACACGGATCTTCTCCAGCATGTTTCACTTTTATCTTGTCCCTATGTAATGACAGACAGACAGATTTATTTTCGATAATTTAGGCCGTAGGCCCTAGGCCCATAATACATACATTAGGCAAATGTATACACATACTGAGTAAAGCTGGGTGTAGTTTAGTATTAATTAATGTTATTAATTAATGGAATATTTTGGACATATTAACAGAATATGGAGTTCATCTTCGATGTAATCAAGGCCAGCAGCATGACAAAAGAGGCAGAGACGTTCATTATACGGGGTGTTTGTATGACGGCCACATTCCACTGCGAGTCTGAAGTTACAGAACCGAAACTGAGTTATGATTTTACGTTGATTTGGTAGCAGTTCACTGCTTAAATATGGTTCGACGCTGAGAATAATTTAAACTGTGGCTAGTAGTTACATTTGGATGACGGATCTAGTGATGCATGCCAGATTGAGCGAAACAGTAACAACATCTCTGATTAAACATTCCCATGAATGTGGATTTACAGCCGATGTTTTGAGATATCCATAAGATACCAAATCCATATTGAAATAATATCAGCCTAATATGAGAAACCCATCTTGTTTTACCATTATCGTCCACAGTTTTCATCATTTGATATGCGCAATAAGGAATGTGTTTCGTGGAAGCTGCATCAGTCTGCACCAGTACTTGACTGCTCTTGAGATATATTGATACTTGAGGGCAGCTCTCCCACACTCTCCCAGAACCATGTTGTTGCTTTACTGACTTTAAGAAATGACTTCCAAAATCTAGTTTTAATTTTTTTGCAGAAGCTTGTTCCCCATATTTCAGATCCGTAACAGAGTATTGGTGCAATCATAAAGCCAAATATCTTAAACAATTCATAATGGTGAGTATATCTAAAACATTTTTGATAACTGTTGAAAGAAAATATGGCTTACCTCGCTTGGGATGACAAACAGGATTTCGCTTTCTCCGTGATAACCTTGGAGTAAACACAATACCTAAGTATCGATACATATTAATAGTTTGTATTCCATTTAGAAACCACTTCTCATAATCCATGAGAGGACCTCCACTGCGAAATTATTTAAGTCTTTTCCAGGACCTCCACTGCGAAATTATTTAAGTCTTTTCCAGATTCACCTTCATTCCAGTCTCTGCACAAAACTGTTCAACAATATAAATTTTCCTTTGGAGCTGCATAGCGCTGTCAGATCCAGATGAGACATCATCAACAAATACGAGAGGATAACATCAATGGCATGTGAAGAAATGGAAACACCTCTTCCATCAGCATTGTCTAGCAATTGTGATAGTTGATTTATAAAAATGTTGAAAATTTGAGGACTTAAAATACATCCTTGCCTTTTGTCAATATTACAGTTGAAATAAGATGATACTCCAGGTTTGATAAATTTAGATTTTAAATTTTTGTATGCACAGTTTCTTTATGTGCCCAGTATATATGAACATTCAAAGGTGTTGTCTGTCATTTCATGGAAGATGGTACTCAAATAATTAATATCTCGTTGTTGTTGAAATATACATCGAGCAATGCCTATATTTTAATGTATCCTGGCTGAATATTTATCTGGTATTGTGTGTGTGCACTTCTGGCTGAATAAGTGGTCTCAAGAGGCTTTGAAGAGTCCCCTCACACACACTCACTCACTCACTCACACACTCACACACTCACTCACTCACTCACACACTCACTCACTCACTCACTCACTCACTCACTCCACCTCACTCACACACTCACACACTCACTCACTCACTCACACACTCACTCACTCACGTTAACTTTAACTTAAGCTTCCGATACATCAGTAATCTAGTATCGTTCACTAACCATCAAATACGCAGTCCCTTTCCACTGGTTTAATCACCTGAACTTGAATTTAGGAAACAAGTAAGACCCCATCATATTGAGATCTACACATACAGATTCGGAGTGACAAACACCTCTCCAAAAGCTGTATGACAAAAGGGGTGATTTCAACTTTTAAATGGTCAACCTCCCTTTCATGTCGAGCAATATTCCAACCGCTCCAGCCTTTGCTGTTTTAATATTTTACAACTTTTGTATACAGTCAGGCCGCGGTAATCCGGTCCTCGTTAATCCGAATCCACCGACTTCCGAACGCTACTCACTGAGAACCAAATCATCTCCCTATATATTGTATATAATTGACACCTCGTTAATCCGATGATTCAGTTTCCGCTTCCGAACGCTGGTCAGTCGGAACGGATTGGACTAATTACGTTGTAAACAGCTGCGTTAATCCGAACGATTGAAGTTGACCGCGCCGCTGACTGGTCCACCCAAAGTTGTAGTTGTATCAAGGGGAAGTAACTCGGTGGATATACTGTGGTTTCAGCAGTGCGAACGTTTCACTATCCGAACGTTTTTTTTAAAAAACCAAAGTGTTCGTATTAACGAGGTCTGACTCTAATCGAGCATGCTCTTTCTATTAAGATTTCACAGACGTTGTCGAAGGTTACAACTCACCATCTCAGTAAAGCTGTCAAACAATGCTATGGTAGACATGTGGAGGACATTTCAAATTCGATGCATGAGAATATGTCCGTGCAATGCCTTACTTTGACTTGGGCCACATGATCCCGAATTATTTCAGGTGAACAAATGACAAGACTTTGCATATGTTTTCTTATGGACGTTGAAATGTTTTTGTTGTTTGTATTTATCTATTTTTTAAGTACTGCTGTTCAAGATAGAGAAACTGCACATAGGATAGTCTAGTCTTCAATATTTGGGATTACACTTTTTTAGTAAAGTACAGATTCTAGTACTTTCGTT